CATTGCCTTTCTGGAGTGACGTTTGACCCTTTTTAGGATCCCCAGCGGGGCGAAATGGAATGTGGAAGACAGAGTCCTGCCTTCCTGCACCCGTTACACCACAACACCTAACCAGAAGTCCTCTAAAAAGTACACAGCTCTAATATTTTGCCTTATTTGCATTTCCCAGCCCTTTGAGGTGACAACCCAAATGTCTTGGAGATAGTCATCAACTTATAAGGATAATGAATACAGGATGGCACTCATTCTTTAGGTTACTAGAAGCTTAGCTCAGCATCTTATTTAGAGTGTTAATCAAAAGTGGAAAAACATTTGTTAAAGCCTCTTCCAATTTGGTGTCTATTGAGGGTAGATTGTCTATGTACTTGTCCTTCGGCTCATGCTTCAACAATTGGGGGGCTCTGGTTGTAGTTTCTGTGGTAATATGGAAATTTTACACTGCTTAAGCTTTTGTGATATGTTCTGGTTAGGGACAAAAATTTCATTGAATGCATTATCATTCTTGCTGTTAAACAAAAAAAAATCTAAACAGTCCTAGAAGAGATCAACCCCGACTGCTCTTTAGAAGGCCAGATCTTGAAGTTGAAACTCAAATACTTTGGCCACCTAATGAGAAGGAAGGACTCACTGGAGAAGGGCCTAATGCTGGGAAAGATTGAGGGCAATAGAAGAAGGGGACGACAGAGAATGAGATGGCTGGATGGAGTCACTGAAGCAGTAGGTGTGAACTTAAATGGACTCCAGAAGATGGTAGAGGACAGGAAGACCTGGAGGAATGTTGTCCATGGGGTCGCGATGGGTCGGACACAACTTCGCAATTAACAACAACAACAAAAAACTTGTAGTTTGCTTTCTTTTGATCAATTGTGGTTTGTCTTGTAAATCATAATTAAACTTAGTAAAGTATGTGAAACCATACATTGTCTTAACTGCAGCCTAGTGATGTTTAGCAGATAAAGAAGCACTCCTTACTTTGATTGTTTTCAGAATGGGGCATGAGAAAAGCATAAAGTCACTAGTCCCACTACCCCTGTTCCTCCTGAAATGCTTAGCAAGGAGAGAACTATCGAGCATTTCAGTTGCTTAATGTCCCACTGGTCCTTTCTGAACCCCAAATTTTCACTGTATCTGATAATGCCACATGAGCTGGAGATTGACAAAGGGGTACCAGGGGATCCCGTCACAGAGACTGAAAGTGATCAACAAGCAAAGGAGGGGCCTAAAGGAGCATTAAGCATTCCAAGGGAAGCAGTTGAGATAAATAAATAACATTAAAAGTTCTAAAGGGAATAAGTAGGCTTAATAAATAAGTAACACCTCATGGGGCCTCAACTTTTTAAGAATTTAGGATTAAAATTAGATAGAACAACCTTCTTTATTTCTGGGCTTTCCAGATATGTTGAAGCTGCATTTCCCAGAATTCCTAAGGAGAATGCTTTTAAGAACTGCTATCCCAATACATTTCGGAAGTATGGGTTTGGAAGGCTAGCGCAGGATGTATTGTAAGCCGATTTCATAGAGATAACTAGAAGACAGAGAACGTTTCTTCTTTCTAAGGAGAACTGTCCTTAGAAGCAGTTAATGAAGAGGGAGCAATGTTTTCTTCACTGAAGGAAGGGAAACCCTCTAAACCAGCATTTCTCAAACTCAGCAGGTATGTGGACTTTAACTCCCAGAATTCCCCAGCCAGCATTCTGGCTGGGGAATTCTGGGAGTTAAAGTCCACATTTCTTAAAGTTGCTGAGATTGAGAAAAATTCTTCTGTACAATGGGAATGCCTCATTTTGGGCTGTCACCTTGGAGAGAATTGCCTCATGACCCCATAGGGGAGAGAAGCACCTCTCTTGGCAAAGAAAGGGTTCCTTTTCCCAATGTGTGTCAGCACTGCCTGTGTAGGATTACATGTTCCTGTGCCAGTACAAAATGGGGAATAGCATGTGCCTCACAACTCCCACAAGAAAGCTGTGCAGTTACTAGTCTGCCAACGACTCTTTCTAAATTTGAATCTGGCACTAGATGACGTGGGCTATCAGTAGGCGTGAACCTCCTCTGCTTGCTGCTGTTGATGACAAAACTGATCTTTTGGGGAGTGTCTTTTCTATTGATCCAGACAGCAAACCCTCATGGGTCAAGAGGCTTCTCCCTGTGAAGTGTAATGCGGAACTAGCCTCTTGATAATGTGGCTGGAGGCAACAAATGACACATGCTGAATAGCATGTCTGGCTCGAATCTAATCGGTAGAACAGCCACGCAAAGTCCTGGATGGCAGATGGCTTGTTCAGGCTCTGAGTAGGAGCTGCATCCGTATGGAGGTGGGTGAGAAAAAAACCCAGGTTCAGTAACACATAAGGGTAGGGGATTTCAATGGGATGGAGGAGATTAACTGGAGATCTGAGAAAAGACATTTCTCATTGTAAATTCATGCAGGCTTCCTATTGGAAGGGGCCTTGCTTGGGCATCTTCCTCCATATTGTCCCTGAATATGCATCAGGTTTTGTTTGTGATGAGCCGCGCCTGTGCTTCTGTATGCAGGTGTAGATGCATATGTGCCAAATTCTTCACAATAAAAGGGGTTCAACAGCATGGTTTCACTTTGGCACATGTACAAGTGCACTCAAATACTAAAAAAAGTAAAAAACTCATCAAACATTTAAATGATTTAGCATATCACAACTCAGTAACAACTTATTCCTGATCCTGTTTTAAAATTATATAAATAGAACCTGCTTATATAATTATAACGTTATAACATTATATATTTTAATTTTGATTGTAACTTGTTACGTTGTTTTTATATAAGAGCCGCCCAGAGTCCTTTGGAGTGGGATGGTGAAATCAATCAATCAATCAAAATAGAATGATTTGAATTTTTTGTTTTTTAATTCTGGGTTTAATATAAGGATTTACAGAACCTTTCTTCTCCCTCATTATTTTCCTCAGCCACATATTGTGTAGTTTTAAACTTTTCTCTTTTCATCAGATTCCCATTGCTGACTTGCACTGATTGCTTAAGCAACCTACTGTTCCATTTGCTGTGCTCTGTCTTTCTCCCCCATCATTTGAACATGGTGTTTGTAATCCTGACTAGCAGTTTTCATTGTGAAATAGAAAGGGGACATTTCTATTGTTGCTCCAGTGAGACCTTTCATTCCTCCTAATCACTATGCAGTATTAGTGGCCAGACTACATGTGTGAATGTTTTCTAGTATGATCCCATTCCAGTCACTTTTAGGAGGAAGATCATCAAGAAGTGCTCATCGCATTGTTGTTGAGAAGCATATTTAAATGATGTTTTCTTGGAGAAACTGTTGTTGAGCTAATTCTCCACCAGGCCTCTCTTTGGGCAAAGAGAATACAGTGCAGCAATTGCTGCACATATTTACTCCTAAATAGCTGGAGAGCAAGAACAACTCCATAGCACCACTATAAAACCTTGCTTGCAGAATTCTAAAATATGATTCTGTTATTCCTCCTTTCGTGACTAAAATGGTAGGGTTCACATGAAGTGGGGAGCCCCATTTTGAGGGGAGTAGATCTCTATCTAGCTCCTGCTAAATGATGCTGTATGCACTTGTGAAAAGCATGCTGAGCATCTCAACATCTAATCAAATTAGAGACACCATATAATAGAACAGTGTTTATCTTGCTAATAGCTGATTCTGATTCATAGCCTTGGGTTGCATCCAGGTATGCAAATGGCTTGAATGTCTAGCATGCAATAAAGCCAAATACGTTTTTACCAGCTTCATTTCAGGGAACTCTTTTTATGTGATCCATACCTATTGAATATGTTTGACTACTGTAACATGCTATTTATGCAGCTGCCGTTGGTAACTATCCCATTGATAGGATCTGTACCAAATATTTTTTCTGTCTTACAAGATTTGTCCCAAATATTAACACCATAAGTTTGGAACTATACGTATTAAACAGTATTATACCTGTAGTATAATCTGGATTTATGGGAAGGTGTAGTTTAGAGATAGAATGTCCATTGAGATCTGCACAATATACATTTTTTGGGGTCAATTTGTATGAACATTGTCCTTTCTCTGACAGGGATGGATGCATATTAGTTATGCTTTTATGTTTTCTATCATATCCAGAATAAAAATAGCAAAACTAGTTTTCAGTATGGGCTGCTAGTATTTAAAGCAGATACACTTGTAATAAAACACAGTCTGAGAGAAATCCCTTGGCCATAAGGGATATCTTGCTTTGTTAGCACATTTTGGCTTCAAAGAAACCACAAACACATACAGTTGTATAAAGTAGCGCTAAAAGAACAAAAAAGGATCTCTTTTGATTTAGAAAGAAGCATCAGGTTACCAAGGAGATCTAACATCTCAAGGACAAGTGACAGTCATAGCACATTCTCAGCCTTAACAAAGAAGTCAGACTACAGATGAAAACCATAGCCTTGCTTGTACCTAATGATTTAAAAATACGTTAAGTCTCACCAAATTTTTTAGCTTCACCCTTGTTGCTAAGTGTGTTCTATCCAACTGCTTAACTGAATTTTATATGTATTCAAAGTCTTTTTTTACATTGTAACCGATATGTACTCTTGATCCTTATGATCTGGTGACTTGCTGTATCAATAAATAAAACAATAGTTTGGATCCTTCCCGGTTCTTTTGGTATGATTGTTGGGTATCCAAGAACTACCATAATTCTTTGCTACTTGAATTATGAAACAGCCTTTTGAGATTTTTTTTGAGCCACTGAAGTTTCTGTACCTTCTCCGCTGGTGGTAGAATGTGGTCTGGATGGCTTTGGTTATCTGGGCTGACTTCATCTGCAATACTGTTAATTTGGCTACAAGGCAGTGACTAAAGTTTTCAAGTTGATCTTTTTTACTTATTATCTTTGGGTGCTGCTATTAACTTAGATGGGACTCCAAAAAGATGAATGGTCTCACATACTAAGGAAAACTCTGCTAAGGTAGTCCCTCAAGTTCAGGTGTTTCCAGGAGTCAGAGATTAAGCTAAAGCACCTTGTAAATCATATCAAGTTCTTTTATTCTGTTTTCCACAGAAATACCTTGTAGGGCAACTTGCCATACGGAATCACAATACATGAGGTGTTACACTGAAATACTACAAGTTCTCACAGAGCACAGCAGGACACACACATCATTTACAATGTTCAGATAAAGGTCATTGCACTTACAACTGTAAACTTCTTCTTTTGTTTGATGGGTTGTTGGTTTTATAGAGAACTCTGCCGCCTCCAAAATAATACAAAATAGAAAAGAAGAAAAATAATTTGAAACTAAAGGCAGGAGGAGAGCATGGACAGTACATGTCATGTGACAGCCACAAGAGCTTTATGGGACTCTGCTATGCTTTGCAAGAAAGGAAACAGTTCAGAAAAGTTAGTTACAAACACCAGGCTTTGTTTGTTGATTTTGTTTTTCTACACAAAAGCAAGAGTTGGCAGGTGTGCTGGTCACTGAGATGGAGCCTCACAAAAGGGGGCTGTGAGTTGATTGTTTTCTTGGGGAGTTTTCTTCTTCATACCATGTGAGACTTTTATTTTACACACTGTACAGGTATTTACAATGGAAGGGGTCGAGGGAGATTGTAGCAGCCACTGTTGAGAAAACCAGTAGGGAACACAAATCCAATCTAGAGTTCTGAAGAAGCATCCTCAGATTATGCACTTGTCATTGCGGGGAGTCTAAGAAAAAGAGGTCTGGGTGGCTGGAAAGAAACTGAATGAAAAAACATGCTTGTCCTTGCCAGGTAACTTGGTCTCTACGTTTGGAACCAAATCCCTCTTCTCAGAATTCAGTGTGCAAATGTGAGAATGAATGATGGCAATCTCATTGCTTCAGTTTGCCATTCTAGTTGAAATAACTTCCCAAAATATATTACATTTCTCCCAAAGAAATGATGTAGCTATATGTTAAATAAACTATATATGTAAATCACACATGAGGAAGTGCTACTTGGAGAATTAGTTTTATTCCTCCTGTTCTGTTAGAAATGATTCCCAGCCTGCCCAGTTCACTTAATGCTCTTGAGCTAAACTTTTTATTGCGGTAGAACAAAAGATAAGCTTCTTGTACTAAATCTTGTATTTTTGCTAGAAAAATAATCAATTCAGCAATTCAGAAACTTAACTGAAACACAATTAAATATAAAAATTCAGTCTGTCTTCCTAGGTATAGACCAACTGCTGAATCAAATGAGTGGGCTTCTATGCAGGAATTCACGTTAAATACAATGGGTTAATTCCTCTGGAAAAAGGACTTCTGCAGATAGAGAGTTTTAAAGGCTACTGAAAGAAAAAAAAATTGTAGCTCAGGTTGGACTGTGGGTTCCTTGGTGTCCTCTGAGTTTGGTTATTTCCTTGCAAACATTTCATTATCAAACTAGGTAACCTCATTGGTGCATCAAACTCAGAAAGTATCGAGGACCCCATAGTTTTAAATGCTGCATGTGACATTAAACAAGCTAGTCAACTACCTTTTAACTTACTTCATTATGAAAGGCATGTGGTTATGTTACTGCACATTGTATTATGCAAAACCAAACAATTGATTGGTTGATTATAAGTAAAACTGTGGAGCAACACACAGCCAAGGAGTTTTTCCACCAAGTCCTACCTCTTAAGAAATGACTAGCTTAACTTTAGAGGTTTCACACTCATTCAGACCACAGACAGAACAGGCAAAGGAGATACTGCCAGGGATCATACAGCCAATATGTATGCAGCTTGACTTAGAAGCTGAATTCTGTGGTCTGTATCCGCTGAATAACCATGGATATAACTTCCTACTTTCCCTTAGAAAGGGCTACTAAAGGCGTAATTCTTTCCCTAACAGAGATCAGATACAACTGTAGTGTTTCCATAGTCCGTGCAGCGGATAGATTTCCAATCTGCCTTGTTTCTCCTCAGTCAACAGAGCCAGTGGGCATTTGTAAGCACATGAATGAACATATATTCTAACATATGGAGTCAGGATAAGGAGACTATGCTTTGAGCTTGTAACCATGGAAGACTTTTGTTAAGAATGCTGCTTACAAAATATCAAATTAGTACTTTTACATGATGAGATATATCACTTCATATGCCAGTTGTCCAAAACAGTCTTAGAATAATAAGGCTTATTAAAATAACACACACTTAACTAAGAACCACGTCATACACTTTTTTTTAGTGTACAACTGTTTTAAGTGCAAGCAAAGGCAAAGCATGAGTATATGAAACATATTCTCACATGTTTGTATTAGATAGGAATTTTAATTAAGCAGCTGGGATCAACTCTTGATTGTGCAGACAATTGTTGATTGTGCAAACCTTATACCTGGATGGTATCACTATGGGTGACATGAAATTACTCTTATACTCACTAGCCTACCAGCTCCCATTACTAAATCTTATTTCAATCTCTGTGGGAAAAAATATTTCTAAAGTATACATTCCAGCAGTGGTCCTGAAAAAATTGCCTTCTTGCACAATATGATTCAGAGCTTATTGATGTATTTGTAACATTACACAGAGGTGACATTCAGGACCTGTAGCATCCTTGTCAAGTGCATTGCCAAACAGGAACACATTCTATATTTTCTGTATCAAAAGATTATAAACTTGTTACATTTTGAAGACTCTAACATGTAAAATATATACTAGCTTCCTCTTGCCCCACTCCATTTTTCAGTATAAAAAGGTATACATTTTTGGTCCAATTTTTGCATATGGTATTCTGGCTTTCAATCAAGTCCTATAGGGAGAAAATAGCTTTGCCATCACTGCATTAAGGGCCTGATGGAAACCTGTGGGATTACTTCAGATTTGGCACTGCATTTACTCCAGTCTTGAACTGACCACCTAGTGGCTCTCTGCTTCCACATTTTCAGAATTTCAGAACCGTAGGTTGAGTAATTCTATATGTATTAACAGTCATTAGTTGCACCAGCAGTTATCCCCATTGCTCTCTAAGCTCAGAATGCAGAAAAGACGAATTAAGTAGAATTGATATATTAATTAATGACAGACCTGTTCAGTCTCCCTTGCTATGTTTGTAAATACATTTCGTTCTTGGGATATTTTTCCAGGCTGCAATTCTTGCATACTTAGATAGAATTTTAATTTTAATTTTGGAGAGGAGGAATGTGCATTAGGTTTGGACAATGCCAAGAAGCCCCTTTCAGCAAACCCTAGGCAGTTGCAGGAGAGGACGTCTCAAAGGATCTAGAGTGAGTGTAATTAAATATAGAAAATCTAGGGTAATGTTTTGTGGAATAATTGCTCTTCATTGACAGGGCTTCAATAACAAGTGCATAAATCTGTAATGGCATTCAGTAAAGAAGATGAACCAACTGGAGGAAAAAAAAAGAATTTCAAGCAAAGAACGAACGGCAAGCATTCTAAGTAGATGAAACCGTGCAGAGAAGTAGCAAGCCATGCTCTACTACAGACAGAGACAGTCACTGGCCCTATGGCTACCCTTTGGCAAAAGTGTCCCTTGAACGGGTCAAGCATGCCACTAATTGGAAACTTCATACGCACAGGTGTTTGATATAAAGATATCTATCCAGGTTCTTGATAGCATGTTTGCAATTAAATCCTTATACATAACATTGAACTTATTAAATATTAACAGTTGTCTTTAAAATTTTGTAATTTCATTGCATAGAACATTAGACATGAGAATCATTTTGCTGTTACCCATGGTGAATGGAAGCTCCTATGGGTCACACCAATGAATTGTTGTTCTTGAACATGCTCAGCGTGGATGAAAGACGGGCAGGAAACAGCACAAACAAATGGGAACTGCAGCATCTGTACACTTACTGGGTTTTTTACAATAACAAAAAAAGTAAAAAAAAAAAAAGAGCTGTTTCACAGGGTGTTCTTTCAGCTCTTGCCATCTATACAGTGTAACGAGCTCCAAGCAGGCAGGTTTACCAACACACTGCTCCAAGTAGCTCCTCCATCTTTCTGAGCATGCCCACCGATAATGGCTTAAGAAGGACTTGAATTGCACAGTAGGATAAAGGAGGATGGCAGAGTCAAACTTTTCTCATCACACTGTGTTGTGCTCTTAATAGCCTTCTGCACTCTATTGCTTCTGCCGACAACAGCCCAGATGCTAACTCAGTACAAAGTTAAGAGATTAATGACGTATGAGACTAGGCAAAAGAAAAAAAGAAAAGAAAATAAAATATAAAAGGAACCTCAGAAAAAATAATAAACCAAGCCCCCAGTTTCTGGGCACCAATGAGGTATACATGTAAATAAAAGTGGAATGATTAAGGCTGTTTTTTTTAAAAAAAAAATAATAATCCCAGGCATACATAAAACAATGCACAACATTAACAATGAAAAGCACTGCCATTTGAATGCTTTAGAATGGCTTCAGGATGGCTTTGGGTGGCTGATAAGACATGCCTGGCCAGCATTGGTGTCAGTCAATAGTCAGCCAGTTTGCACTGCCTTTCAGTCCTATGGCCTCTTAACTCAGTAGTGAAACAGTGTTAGGTCCTAGTCAGAGTTCCCTTCGTCCCAGACTTTCCATTGCAGGGATGATGAGAGGGAACAAACACTGGAGGGGATGGGGGTTGATGGGGCAAACTGGAATGTGAAGGAGAATGGAGCATCCAGCTCCCAGCCCTCAATTCAAGCACATTTTGAAGAATGGGAAAAACCTATGAAGAACTAGAGTTAAAGTTCAGTAACTTTGTGTATAATCCTAAGAGAAGGCCATGGCTCCCAAAATCAGATGCTAGGCACAAATGGAACTACAGTCATAGATAGTTTCTGAGTCCCAAAACATCTCAAGTGACAGAAAAGTTGCATGCCTGTGTGACAAGCTCCTCTTCTCTAATTGCACCTCCTTACGTACATCTTCTCAATCTAGGAATCTGCCTTTAACCCTTGAGGCTTGCACAACACGGATTGACAACAGTGGCTTTGAAAGCCTTTTGTGACCGTTGGCTCAGACGTCCTCAAACAGCATCTTATGGGATCCACAGGCATAAATCTGTATAAACAGCTCTTCTGTTTCATTCTCTGAGCCTAGTGGTTTTCCATGGTTTCAAAAGCTTGATAAGACAAAAAAAAAAAATCACAGAAATATATTTATAATATTTCAAGAATTGAGGTAACAGAGTCCCCAAAAATATCTACTGAAAAAGCTAGAGGATGCATCTGTTATATGCAATGATAAGTGAATAATAACCTAACCAGTGTAGGAATTCATCCAATCTTCCACATCCTCATATCTTCCAGAGGTATTGGACAATATCTTGGACATTAATTGCAGAAGTACCAATACATCGTATCATGCTATCTGGGAATGATGTGGTTGTGCTTCACTATACAAGGTAAACGTTGAAACAGCTAGAAAAGGTAATCAGTCAAAAATGAACAATTGAGTAGTAATGAACTTAGTTGTTTCTATTTGAGATGCAACACTTTCATATACTGGAGCACTCAGGACAATATACATGAAAGCATATTTTCCTAAGGAGACCACATCTTTTCCATCTCACCATTTTGCTCCAACCTGGATGTATACCCAGTTCATATTTCATTCTGTGTACTGAAGCAGGAAGTGTAAAAAAGCTACATCAACAGGGATAAATTCATTTTTCCCTCCCCAATTAAAAATGTAGTTTTTTTAGTGAGCTATTTAAAGTAGACAAAAACCAGAATCCTGCAATGTGATTGTTTTATAAATGCAAAATTCTGACTGAACCCAGAAGCTAGAATCAGCTCAGCAGAACAAAAATGCCATTTTCATCTCTTTGAACTCCTGTAATCCTGAATTACAACATTCTGGAGTGGGAATCCAGAGCTAATACAGGTGGTCCTCAGTTACTGACCATTCGTGCAGCAATTGATCAAATGGCACTGAAAAATGAGACTTACAACTAGTCCTCAAAATTTTAGGGTTAGGGTTAGGTTTAGGGTGAGTCACGTGATTGCAATTTGGGTGCTTGGCAATCAGTGTTCACTTACAATAATCACAACATCCCATAGTCACACAGTAGTCATTTTCAACCTTTACAGAGAGCTTCTGATAAGCAAATCAATGGGAAGCCAGCGAAAAGTTGCAAATGGCAGTCATGGGATATTGCGCTGAACAACCAGCAGTGATTCACTTAATGACCACAGCCAGAACTGATGTCAATAATTTGGTATGGTCAAGTGATATCATACTTAATGACTTAGCAATGGACTTGCTGGTTGCAATTGTGGTCGGTAAGGAACTACCTGTATGATCATCATTGGCCATGCATCTCTCTCTAGCTTTTCAAAGAAAGAGGTTTTTTTATATATATTTCCTGTTACTTTCTTTGAGGAACTCAATTCAGCAATGTACAAAACCATTTCCTTTTCCTTCCAGGAAATGGCATGAGGAACAGGGGAACCGACCAATCAGACATGGTCCAGACAGAATCTCAAGACAGAATCTCAGAATCTAAGTGGCCAGAATGGAGGAAGGGGTAGACATCCAGAGAGAGATTTCTTAAGATGGCTTCATTTCCAGCTTGTCAACACCTTAAAGCTGCAATGTAGAAAAACCCTAGATTGATTTATTGTATATATTTGCAAAACACATTTCTAGAGATGCCTGATTTCAGAATGACGCTGGGTGTCTCACAAATTAAAAAAGGCGAGAAATATTACAGAATCAGGCAAGAGTAATGGTCTCCCAGACGGAACAATAAAAACTGTCATCCAGCCTAAAGAATCCCAACAATCACCCAAGCCAAGGCCTGGGGGGAAAGCCAAGTATTCAAGGCTCATTTAAAGACAGGCAGGACAGGGAAATTTGAACTTTGGATGTTGTCCCAGAGGGAAGGTGCTGTGATGGAGATAAGGCTCCTTCCATTTCATGCAATCTGATTCTAGGGCTCAATACACACAATAAAATCTGCACAGCCCTGATATGGATTATTAGAGCTCTGAGTAATTTTTGTAATGTTGTGCAGCACTCAATATTTAAATAAGAGCACTAAGATATTCTCTTAATTCAAAATAGCATAACATACTTAACACAGGCAAATTACTTTCAGGTAAGCAGCGAATCATATCACTGGGTTAAAAACTGCCACCACCAATCTTCAGGATTTTATCCCCTAGGAATTTTCTCAGTCACTTTTGAGGAAAGTCAGCTATTGACATATTGTGGTAGATGTGGAAATGGAGGCAAATAGATGATACTCACTATTATACCCAGAGTCCAGTGTGGCAAATGAACCCAATGAATTCTTCATAGGTTTTTCCAGTGCAAGGATGAGATTTCACTTATTTCCCCAAATGCCTGCTGAATCAGTGATGAGAGAAACAAGAAAAGAAAATAGCTGTTGGTAAAAAGAAAGGAAATTCTAAAAAAATAAAATAAAATAAAAGGATACTCAGATTAAGCAGCAATAGGATGACCTGCTTCAGAGTAATGGTCAATTTAAGGCCACTGATGGGAACAGAATTCTATCAAGTAATAAATAAGAAATTTCTGGGCTCTGGCATTTCAGTGTGTTGACATGGCCCCGGCAGTTATGCATAAGGACATTGTGGATTGGTGCATGGAGGACCCAGTGTGACTCACCGAATATTGTACTCTCACCAGAACGATGTGAATTTCTTGCCAAAAGCTGATACGGCTGTTGGAGTAAAGGAAAAAGAAATCAATGTCCCAAACCATCTGATACAGTATAAGGTTGTGTCTTTTAACTGGATCTTCAGCTATTTTTCCTAAAATATTTATGCATGGCCTGTTGGCATCCATAAAGCACTGCAAGGGCATTTTAGAGTAATATCAGTGCAATAAAGATATAACAGATACAACACTCAGTAAAAACAATTAATAAAACAAAAATTCTGGTGGAATTAGCCTGTTGAATGGAAATAAAGCTTCTCAAGCTCCTGTGATGCTCCTTCTCAGTAGCAATCCCCATGCTCTGAAGTGCCTTGCTTCCTCTGGGCTCCAAGAAAGCTCTGAAGGGGTAGTTATTTTGCTGGAAGCTCAGGAATTAATAGTTGATAAAAGAGCTTTCTTTAGTTAACCAGGAGTGTTGGGCTGGAGTGGTTTTTTTCGTATCTTTAAGGTGCTTTCTTTGAATCATACTTACTTTGTTTGATTGGATCCCCCAGGAGACTAAGAAAATAGGAGGGACGTAAAAGGTTGTCCGAACAAAATATATAACTAAATAAATGACAGAAATGATACTCTTTTGGGAGAGAATTAAACAAGGTGTTGCTACCCAAAAAATCACTAGCATTTGTACCAGAGAGTAATAAGCTACTCTTGGTGGTTGACCACCGAGTAGGACTTCCCAAAAAAAGCCAGTGATGATCCTTCAGAAATCCTGTTCGCAAACAGTGTATGGTTCAGAGGTTATAACAAGAATCTTGCCTGCTAACAGACAGAGCAGCAGGACAGATCATCTGAATCACAATCATCTGACAATCACCCAAAAAGTGAACTCTTGAAAATATTAGGACTCAGAATTCCCACCTTCTGTCAATTTGCCTGCTTGTTCTGCTGCTCCTCCTGGCAGGATTTTGGATAAGACACTTTCACCCTCTGTTCCTGGCTGTCCAGCTGCTGCTCCTGCAGATATGGGTGCTCCTGTTGGTTTGGGACCCAATTTAATGCCTGTGAGAGAAAGTGATGAAATAAATGAATCTGTATGAATTCAATGAAATGTAATTATCTTTACTCATTATAGAAATATAACCAGACTTGTAAGAAAAAAAAAGGAACGGCAAGCATTGATTTGTTCATAATATATATAACCAATCTTTCCATACAGAAAATGGTACTCTCAGTGACCAAAAATATATGAAAATACTAAAATAATGAAATACTAAATAATGAAATGGCTGTGGATTTCAACTTCCAGAATTCCCCAGCCAGCCATTTTTTAAAATTGCCAAAGTTGAACACTCCTTATTTAAGCAGTTCAAAAGCCCCACAGCGTTATCCTGTGGTAAGATGGGTGGACAATAAATTTGATAAATCAAATAAAAAAGGGCTAACATGAATATATGCACCTTGATAGCCTTTCTGAAGATAAAACAATGAGTTCCAATTTGAACTCCCAATGAAATGGGTTGCAAAGTTCATGTCTTATCTGCCCAATCACTGACCCTCTGTTGAAAAGGCCATTTCTTACAGGCACGTCAAGTAACAGGGAATTATCAATATCCATTTCTCAATGAAAGTAGTATTTTAAGCTGAGCTAAGTAAAAAGCAAGCAATTTATTATCAGATTTTAATCAGGGTGAGGGATTCTATCCTTTTTGTTTACAGGAAGAAGACAATAAGAAGGCTTCTTTTAGGTATTTTACTTGTGACGCCTTTACCATCACTTATACAATTATAGTCTCCTGTGAATTAATTCTATACTAATTGGCACACATTTTGAGGCCAACTGTAGCCAAACTTTTCCTTTCTTCTTGATCTTGCCTAGGGTGTCATGTGATCATTTCCGAATTCATTTTGAAAAAAGCAATTGGAATCTTCCCTCCGAAAACTAACTCCCCTATCGTTCCCTAGTGAAATGCACACACAATAGCAGGTGCTAAAACAAAACACCTGCCTAGTTGAGAAACTGCTTACTGACCTCCAGCTGTCCCCTGTGGTTGTGTCTGGGGTGCTTTCCCCACCTGTGGCACTTTTGTGGTAGGCTTGGATACATCCGGCTGTTCTGCTTTAGCCTATAATGGGAAACAAAAGTTTCATTTGTTGGTTTAAGAAAGCCTCTTTTTTTTCCAGTCTCTGATTTGGGGGAGAGCAATGCATGTTACAGAAAAATGATCCTACCATAAAACCCATCTGCTGAAAACACATCTAGCAGCTTTGTTGCCATAATTTTAAAAAGCTGACTCATCTTTGTTATTTTTAATTGGTCCTCTACTCCTTCTAATTCTCCATAGATCCTCTTCTCTCCAAAGTTTCTAAGTTTCTGTAACTCTGGGTTCAATGATAGAGAAGGATAGCTCTTTTCAGATGGGGCTCACTTTAGACCACCTGGTGGCAAACTAGGAATCATATTTCAAAATAGTGGAGGGCAGGATCAAGCAAGGCTGGGTCAAGAAATAAATAAGATTTAAATATTACTAGCCGAATACAATTAAATAGGAGCATCCTCTGTGTATTTAAATATTCTAACTTGTCAAATTAAAAATTAAATCTTTGGATTCCTTTGTAGAATCAAACCCCAAACTTGGAACTGCTGAAAACAGTCCTGTGTCTGTGGGCTCTACTCTCCTGTCAGCCCTCTGAGGTAATCCAGACAGGAAACCAAAACTACTAGTACTAATAATACCATAATAATAATAATAATAATAATAAAGTTGAAAGGGACCTTGGAGATCATCTAGTCCAACCCCCTGCTCAGGCAGGAAACCCTACACCATTTCGGACAAATGGCTGTCCAGTCTCTTCTTAAAAACTTCCAGTATTGGAGCATTCACCACTTCTGGAGGCAGGTTGTTCCACTGGTTAATTGTTCTAACTGTCAGGAAGTTTCTCCTTAGTTCTAGGTTGCTTCTCTCCTTGATTAGTTTCCATCCGTTGCTTCCTGTCCTGCCTTCAGACGCTTTGGAAAATAATTTATTGTAAGCATTTTCCCCTCCCTTGTTGTTACTTCACAGAAAATAAAGGAGGGCCCCTTCTGACATGCTTTCTCTATCCCCATTCCTTCTGTGGATGGAGATAGCTCTTGTCTGACTATTGCCCTGGCTGCAACTCTTCTTCCTATCTCCCAAGTTTATTCTCACAGTCTCTTACCTCTCCTGACCTTTGACTGATGAAACCTCCTTCAGAAATCTAGGGAGTTTCCCTACCCTCATAATTGTTCTATTTTTCCCCCACTTAATCATTTTTTATTTCTCTCTAACATTCTGTTGAACAAAATGTTTCCTCTTAAGCTCCGAAATTATGATTAACTCTTACAATCCATCCACCAATATGGTTTACTTGCATATAATATATTCATTTAGACTGTGGAATGATTCATATGGTCCATAAATACATGGATTTTTTGGTGTGATATTGAGATGAATGTACACATTTGCTACTCTAAAACAGATCATTCACACATTAATGAAGGGCAAGACAACAGGCAATTAGCAATGATGGAATGAACATCCATCTCTCCCTAAAGAAAACTGAACTGGTACTCACTGGTCCTGCTGGGTGAGTGCTAGGTTGCGCTTGGGCAGTTGGCTGGGGTTTGCCTAATGGTTGAGGCTGACCAGGCTGCTGTTGGGCTGGCCGCAAGGATGGTTGGGCTTGGGTTCCCAGTGGTGGCTGTTGCTGTTGCTGTTGCTGTGGTTGTGGTTGTTGCTGCTGCATCCGAACCTGCTGTGGCTGTTGATGAGAAGGACCTGCTTGATGCTGTTGCTGAGGTTGTCTGCCCGGGGGTTGCTGCTGCCTAGATGATGGTTGCTGTTGCCCAACTTGCTGTTGTTTAGGTTGCTGTTGCTGCTGCTGTTGCTGCTGCTTTTGCTGTTGCTGCTGCTGCTGCTGCTGCTGTTGGTGAGACAGGGGCTCAGATTTTGGCTGCTGAGATGGCAGCCCATGTTGCATCTGCCTCTGGGATTTTTGGGACTCTGAGGTATGATGATAGCCAGACGGTTGTCGGGACTGCTGAGGGTACTCCGAGGAGCTGGGAGGATAACCTTGCTGGGTTCTTGTATCTGATTGCTGAACCTTCTTCTGGGAAGTGGGCTGTCCATGTCCACGCCCATGTGACTCATGGCGGCCTGGATCTCTTGGGTGTTGCCTGGATGATCTCTTGGGCAGGTCATCAGTGGAATGGCGGGAGGAGGATGAATGTCGCCCATAATCTCCATGGTGCTTGTGATCTTTGGAGGAAGAGTGACGTGGGTGGGAATAGTCATCATGATGCCATAAGTCTTCATCTGGGGGCTCATCATAATCATGATAGGTGTGTTTAATTGGACCTCTCTTCTGAGAGGATGAGGAATGGCCACCATAATGCCTCATCCTCTCTGAACGAGGTTCTCTTGGTTTGTCAAACCAGTCCGTCTCCTCTTGGCCCAAGTGGTAGGCTTCAGAAACCAAAAAAGATCACAGTGAATCTCCTGATCCAAAGCTAGGAATGTATTGTGACTGAAGCCATGCAATGAAATAGAGAAGAAGCTTATCACAGGAATGTAAGATATGTCACAGCAGCCACTCAGGAAATATAAAAACAGAAATCTCAGCATAGAAACACACTGAACAAGCAGTGAGCAACATTAGGACATGCAATGTGCAACATTCTAACATAAAACCACCAAAACAGAAGACGAAATCAGGATAAAGGCACATGGCAAGCAAATGGAATTTGTGGCATTTTCTTTGCAAATATGACCCGCTTGGGCATGCTTGGATATAAGTCACTACAGGTAGTTATTACCTTCACTGTCCGAAACAACACAGTGTGAATCATCCACGATGTAGCCTTCTTCATGTTTGTAAGAGTGGGTTCTTGGCACATCTTTAATATGTTCTTGTACATCAGGCAATGAGTGACTAGAGCAAAATTGGGAGCAACTGTCTCCAGCAGACTGAGGAAGAGGCCCACCTGAAGACCGTGATACACCCACAGATTTTCCTAATGGACTGATAGGACTTTCTTCTTCTGAAGTTTGTGTGCGAATTGGAGGTCGCCCACGACTCTGACTCATACTAAGGGAGGAAGGCTTTGAGCTTCCTTTCTGTGGCCTCTCCATGCTCTCTCTTTCATAAGATCTGCTTCTAATTTCACGACTTGACAGTTTTTCTGACACATATCCAGAGGATCTTGATCGCCCACCACTATATGCTCTATCATCTTCTTCCAACCCATCTCTGCTGGATACACTATAGTATTTCTGCTGTTCATATACATTTTTCTTTAGACCATAAGTGATATCATCTTGCATTTTCCTTGCTCTGGATGCTACACTGCTGCTACTGACTGATGTAGTCGCTGTATAGGAGGCCAGATCTGATTCTACATCTTTGGCTTCTTCTATAGGGGAGAATTTGGAGATCTTCTGCTCCATGCCTTGTTTCCTGTGCTTGCTACGCTTGGAAGAGATGACAGCAGGGGCCAGATTTTTTGAAGAGTGTTTTTGTACTCCCATACTTGTTCCATGCTTATCTGGACGAGAGGATGGCCTATAATCACTGTCTCCATAGTAATAAGAACTACCTGATACTCTCCCATTGCTCTCTGTGCTTTTAGGATAGCTTTTCCCCCGATGGTCAGGACCATAATGATCATAAATATCCTCTTCAGACTCCTCTTCTCCTTTTGAATAGCAACAAGGCCTGCTAGACACGTCTACATCTGCAACCTCCCTCTTTTCTTTGATAGGCAGTCCATTGCTGCTGTGTGATGGCAAATCTCCTTTCTGACCCTCTCCCGTGCTGCTCTCTTTGGTTAATTCACTGATATCATCAATCATCACATAGTTCCGAGGAATGTTTTGCTCTAGATTGGTGTATAGAGAGTCAGAGGAATAGCTAGTAGAGGGACTTTGTGCAGCACTGCTCCTGTCTCCTGGCCTCCCATCTGCGGCTTTGTGTTGATCATAACTGCTGGTCACTGTTGCGGTGCTGTAGATCACTTCTGGCGTTGCAGCAGAGATCACCACAGTGGGATTGCTAATGACTTCATAATTGGTCAGGATCTTCTGTTCTAAATCAGCCAGTGAGGTCTGTCTTGGCTTCTGGGATGTTGTGTGGGTGTCTACGTGAGTCTGAAGAAGAGCACTCTGGGCAGGCTGCAAAGGTGTCTGACTGGGATAAGCAGTCTGAACTTGGTAAGGTGGGCAGAAGCCTTGATGGCTCTGTAGGCCCAGTTCAGACTGATATCCAGTACTTGGGGTGAAGCTATGTGCCTGGTATGTAGTTTGGGAAGGGTAAGCAGGGATCTGCCTTGGCTGGAAATCATTTTGAGTAGGACCGCTGCTTGCTGGAGGATAGTATGGAGGTTGAAATCTTGTCTGCTGGAATGTAGCTGGGCCTGGTGCAGCAGTCTGAACTGAGGAGTACTGGTATGGGGTGTAGGAAGTTGTTGAAGTATACTGGGTACTGGAAAATTCTGCATGCTGGTTAGAAGGGGTAGTTCTGGGCCTTGTCAGGAGACTTCCACTCTCATAACCAGAGAGGCGAAGATTGTTTAGTTCGCTGTCAGACATATAATCTCGATTCTCTCCCAAGCATCTCAAATATGGATAATCGCGAATATTCCGATCCTTCAGCAAAGATTCCTTTCTTTGATTGATCCCCAATTCGAGGTACTTCAGCTTGGCATCAATCTCTTTCTCTTCTTCATCCAGCTCGGCTTGTTTCTTTCTCAGTTTAGTGGATTCATGCTCGACCAGTTTCAAGTCCCGGTCAAGCTCTCTAAGGAGGCTGGCTTTGGTCACTTGGACGGGCTGCCCGCCAATACCCGTTGGCATGAGGCCAGGCATGTACATCTGTGAATGGGCTTGGCTGGTCAGAGGAAGCTGAGCTTCTTCTGGTGGGGGGCTAGGCAAGGTCCGCTTCACTTTCCGAATGAGGGTGTTTGATTGCAAGGTTGACATCTAAAAAGCAATGGAAGCTCTGGTTAAATTTAGAAGTACAATGGAAGAATTCACAGCCATTTTCACTTATTAGGAGGGGCGGTAGATAAATATGGCCTGCATTTTTCCCAAGGGCAGATGTACAAGATTAATTCTATATATTACTATTTTAAATGCTTTTAATATTCATATTTTGATGTTTTAACATTTTTTTCTAAAACACTAGCACTTAGTGGACTTAAGCACTATCCAACAAGGCTCTAATATGCCCAGTTTATAAGGGTTGTTGGTAGTTTCTTTGGAGTAAAATATATGAACAAAATGCACTTTATAAAAATAGTTCCTAATGTGGGAAACAAGTATTTCTTGCTACTCAAACATCTTGAATGAATAATAATGTTGCTGGCAAACATCTGCTCTATCAACAGACATAGTTACTGACACTGAAAAAAAAATGGAAAGAGGCAGAAGTCAAACTATTTTTTCCTAACGCACCCATACAAAATTAATCTAGTATGATTCACAGATTTAAATAACTGAGTAACTTGGGGTGGGGAGAATATTTCTGCTTTGCAGATGAAACATCTCTATATCTCAGGTAGTCTTGCTGGGGTCTGAATTGTTTTTGCAACTCAGATTGTTGTAGGAATTCAAATGTTTGTTTCTTTGTTATTTTTGCAGTTAGGCTGAAACGCTATGCAAAATCCACAAGTGATGAATAGCCCTTAAAGGGTCCCTAATATCATAATGGTTTCACATAAGTGCTATTTTAAAAAAATTGTTGCATCTCACTGAATTTTGCAAGACAAGTTTTTTTTTAAAAGGCCCTGTAAGACTAAATGAAATCATGCAAATAACATGCATATTTTAAAAAAATACTTGGGATCAATAATAAAAAAGAAGCTATCATATGATCCTGACGATGGTAATAGTAGCTGTTCCAATTCAGCATATTAGATTGATCCTGAAGAGCTGGGACGCCTTCAGATTTCCTCTAGGCCAGGCAAAATGTCTCAGCTTGGAGGACAAATGTCATCAGTTTGACATGATAACTATTTGATGAATAGAAATAATATATTAATTTTTGATATTTTCAATATGAGGTATTTTTACTTCTTATTGAGCACTGGATTTTCTCAAGGTATAGGATAATAAGTCAGCTTCATAAATCAAGATGGGGAGTGAGAAAGAAAGGAGTAATTAATGAGGAAAAGAAAGTAAGAATGTGATGATCTCTGTTAGCAAGTGTTATTCTCTAGTTTGGCTCTACATGCTTTGAAAATGGTTTAGAACAGGAGTCTCTAACCCCTGGGCCATCTACCGATCCCAGTCCATGGTCTGTTAAGAACCGGGCCGCACAGCTGGAGGTGAGCAGTGGATGAATGAGCAAAACTGAAACCATCACCAACCTGGTCCATGGAAAAACTGTCTTCCACAAAACCGGTCCCTGGGGGGCTACTGATTTAGACAATGTGTTTCTGCTTAGCACCTCTTTGAGACTGATGCAGAAATCTGAAAAACATTCTTATGCTTATTATTAAAATTTTCTTTTATGCAGGATTGAAGGCAAACTCACCCAGGGTTTTCTACGTGTCAGCCCAAAGGTCTGTAATAGCTTAGAAGTAGTTAATCAGTAATTTCCGAAAGTGATTAGAAAGTGAGCTTTGCAAACTTAGTATCCTTTAAAAGTCTCCACCATGGTTGTGAGCAAAATGGCTAATCCTCTGAATAAGGAGAGGACAGGAGATCACCCACATGTGCCCCACATGTCTGCCTCTCATGTGGGGATTTCAGGACAGCAGTTTTCAGCAGGTTTGAGCACCAGGAGACAACAGGATTAGCCATCTTGCTTGCAACCATGGTAAAGACTTTCAAAGGACATTAAGTTTGCAAACTCTACAATGTTCCTGATGGAGCTGTGGCTCCTCAGAGAGCACACAGACACATGCAGATCCACACACACTCTCTCAAACTATTTGCCAAGTACTCTGATGTTTTTCTTCACTCTTGAAGATGGAGAACAAAACTTATGTGGAGATCCCAACAAAATCCCCATATAATAGGCAATGGAGAGAGAGCAGGACTGATCTTAAGTCACTCAATAAATTTCCATGGCACAGGTCAGTTTCAGTCTTTCTCCCATATTTTAGTCGTTGTTGGAACAACCATTTAAAGATACTCTAACATATGTATGAATTATTTACCATATAGCAATAGGAATTTTTTTGTTACTCTATGACAACTGAAATGTTGTGCATAAATTTGCTTTTAATGATTGGTTTGTAGTGATGTGTGCTCCCATGATTGTTTCATGGCAATGTATACTTTTCAAAACTGTATAAAAGGGGGTCCACTCTGAGCAGGGGTGTGCCCATTCTGGAACTTGCTTCTGGACAACCTTTTATTTGTAAATAAAAGTCTTAGACCTTGCCACCTATCTCGTGTTGTTCATTGGGCCTGCATACCAGGAAAAGGGACCTGAGCTTTCTGGGACAATAATTTCAGTCACTGTACCATGCAGAATGGAGAACAGATAACAATAACAGTGTTTTTGCCTCCCTATAAATGACAAAAGTCCTATTTATCTCCTGGCTTTAGGAATGTCCCTCATTGTGTAGATGCATTGTACCTAGACCAATAACAGAAAGGAGGAGAAACTACCATAATTCCTGGATCTGTTACAATAACAGATCCAGGAACTGAATAAGTCTTGAACAGGGTACAGCATTCCAATTGTGTTAGCATTTTTGTTCTCAGTATGCAACTTTAGGCCAACCCACAGTGTCTAAAAATTCTACCAAGCTGTCCTTAAGGTAGACTTAAGATTGTTAATTCAGATGTCTTGTGTAAGATGTCAATCAGAAGCAGGTGCTGTAGGTCTAAAACAACTTTCACAATGGCTCAGGATAAATTGTGATATTGAGAAGTCAAATGAATCTGCCAAGAATTTGAGCCTGCATCATTTGTAAAATGTGTCATCTCTATTTTGTGAGTACATATGATCTATTATAGCATATCATGGAGTGCTGAACTCCAATGGAAGGAGTGGAAAAATATTATGAGCAAGCATGGAATTTTTTTAAAGAAGAGAATTACAGAAGTTCATGGGGAAGACAGGCTTACCTAGGATCATTAGCCTTGATTACTGAATATTTAGTAATCTCTAGTTAAAGAGAAAAAGAATGGGCTGTTTGCTTGTCTATTTCACCAAGAGGCATCTAGCCTCTCATGTTGGTAATGGGATATAGGATTAGATGGCCGCTGCTGTGATTCAGAATGTTCTTATTATGTGATTGATTTCACAAATATTATTAAAACAATGCAACCTCTTTCTCATTTTATAAAATACACACAGCCCCCCACTACTCTTGTTGCTTAGATCATGTGTATGTTAAACAGATTGGAGAAATGTTATTTGAGAAATCGGGGATTTTAGGATTCTGAGGATGCAAAAAAGAAAGAAGTGGTTGGGAGCAAATAGGAAGCAGAAAAGAATAAATGTGACATTTCTTTGGCACAATTATAAAATAGTCCTGCCTATTATATCAATGCACTGCAGATACTAACATTATCTACATAAGGAGATTAGTTTGAGTAAGATACATGCCAGAATGCAGCTGTAATTTGAAGGTATTCTTTTAAAATATACATTGTTTTACAATTAATCAAACTGAAATATTTTGGGATACTACTTGGGACATTGTCCCACAGAAAGAATGTTTCATGGTATGAAATATTGGATATAAGTTAAAATATTTAGTACCAAAGCCAAGAAGTTTCACATATTTTTATTATAAAGTATCACTTCAAGTAAGTGTTCAGTTGTCATGATAAATAACCTAAATATTGTACCAGGACTGTCCAGGCTTTATTTGAAGATGTCTAGAAATGACTACCACCCTCCTAGATTAGTCATTTCATCATCAAACTACTTTTATCAATAAGATTTTTTACCCTTATCCCTTAGTGCAGGGGTCTTCAAACTGGGCCCTTTTATGACTTGTGGACTTCAACTCCCAGAATTCCTCAGCCAGGCATGTGAACCACTTCTGGCTGTGATTCTCACAGGCAATTGTGGATTTCATCCCCTCATGGAATCTTTCTATCAATGATCAACATCTATGTTCCTTCCATCTCTTCTCACAGGACTTCCTTCATCCATTTTACCCATTTTTGCCCCTGCTCCAATTTGCCTGATGACTTCTTAAAACAGTGGGACCCAAAACAGAAGTTGAGGCTGAACTAGCAGAATATAATATAAATATTACTTTTCACGAATGTAGAGGCTATACTGTACTTCTATTGGTGCAGCCCTGTAATTGCCTTTTGACAACCGTGTCAAAAATTCAAAATCTTTTTCAACCCCACAGTTGAAACATTACGATGTTATTTGTAGTCACAAGCATTGCTGAGATCTGTTTTCAGATCTTTCAGTCATGGTCTCAAACATACATACACCTAGTTCTTTGTGCTTTCCCTTTTTTATGGGGCTTGCTATTTTAACACAAGAGTCAACTTGCTAAACATGTTTGCTTTCAAATACTTATTCTAAAATTAATGGTTGAAGGTCATTTGCAAATTACATCTTGCCCCAGTCTTGATTAGTGGTAAGGAAATAAAACAAAAGGTTAAAAAACTGAAGTACTCCTCAAGTAGAGATTGGCTCCTGGTGATTAGAGTTTTCTGTAGAGTTTTCTTATTATTAGAGATGCTATTAAAATTACTTGCCACTACCTTCTTGCATGATTTATTTTTCTTTCTAGTCTAGCTGGCAGCCCTGTAATTCCTGTCCAAATACAGCAGTAACAGGACAAGCCCTATTTAACTTCATAGATGAGCAAAAGTCTACTAGGTTCTGACACCTGCAGATGCTCAAAACACAAAAAAATGCATGTCTTTAAGCATCAGACTGACAACGTTCATTTTAGGAATAGTGCAATTTTTGCAAAAGCCCTTAGTCTACTTAATTCATCTGGAAAACCCTGGAAGAATGATGCTTTCAAGGCTGTAGCAAACAAGTATTAGTCTGAAGCTGTAGGTTTCCCCACATGACATATAAGCGAATAAACAAAGAACTGGAACAGGAGAAATCTGCTATAGATTCAATTGCTATTCATCATGTGAAACAGCTGGAAAAACTGCACACACAGCAGGTTAGAGCAAACCTCCCTATTTCCTACACACACACACACACACCCATAAATATACACCTCTGTTCAACAAGATGCTTTAGCACTATAATTTTGCTTTTACAACAAGAGAAAATATGAGATAGTTCTCTGAAATGTCAAGGAAGGAAGGAAGGAAGGAAGGAAGGAAGGAAGGAAGGAAGGAAGGAAGGAAGGAAGGAAGGAAGGAAGGAAGGATCTGGCAAATATGTTTACATTGCAATCAAAAGAATCTCTTTGTCTCTTTAAATATAAATAATTTTTGGACAGGCTATGTTTTTTGGCTTCACTGGTCCACAGTATAAACTGTCAGTGCTATTCCCCAAGAATCTGCTGGAACTCAAGTCTGGGATAATAAAAGTTGCAATACTTACATATGATGGGCTTGGGGTGGTTTTTTTTGGGGGGGGGGGGAGCTTCAGGCCCTGGGGTATTTTAACCCTACTTTCCCATTGCAGTATCCTTATGAAAATGTATCCATACATTAGTTGCTATATTTAAGGCTAAGTACCAACTCATTCTCTTGGTACAGATAATTGAAAAGTTTTCCAGAGAAGCAGGAAAGGATGAGAGCACTCTTTCCTTATGCTGCTATCTGTTCCTAATTCCTGCCTTCTCCTGTCTAAAGGGGGGGGGGGAAAGGGGGCTAGAAAAAAAATGTGGCAAGTACATTATCATCTTTATCTTCAGGCAAATATGCATGTATGCTTTCCAGCCAGAGCCCTTTTCCGTATTTTCAGTAAGACAGGATTCATTTCCTATTTTTGATCTCTGTTGGTGGCCAAAATCAGAAATGAATCTCTCCCTGCCAATTATAAAGCCTTGCCTCTTTTGTTTTGATTGATGACAGATATGAGACATTATGGTATTTCTTCAAGCAGAATGGCACTACAGTTGGCTTATTTTCTTTAGCTCTTGTAAAACAAAGTTAACTGAGGAGGATATTTTGGGGAATACAGAATGTCTTTTAAGGAAAAGATCAGAGTCCTGTGTGTGTCAGTAAGAAATACTGTATTTTTATGCATGGCAGAAAATGGTATTTCCTTTTACCACCACTAGATGGCAGACAAACAAGCCATTTACTTCTGTATTACCACGTGTTTCTTAAACCGAGGTGACCCTCTGTTTTGAATTTAACTGTGTTTAGTATCTGAATGCGCACTGACTGCACAGTATCAGAAATATATTTAAGGAAAAAGGAAATTATTTTTTTTAATATGATAAATGTATCATGATAACACACATATTTAGTAATTTAACGACCCTATGATGGAACAAACACTTTCAATGTAGTTGATACCATTATTAATTTATGTGAGAGAGACAGGATGATATTTCAACATCTATATTATTTCTGTAGGTTTCTTAGCACTTAATGTCATATTGGGGATATGCTGAGTAGTTTGAATGAAGACAAATACAACATTTTAACTATGCTTATATAGTTCATTGTCTTGGAAAGTGTTCTGAGAAATTGGTGCTATAAATGTTAAGCGTGTCAGATAAAAAGCTGGCTGTAGTGTAGGCTTATTGCTTAGTATAAATTTTCTCAACAATCCATTTAATTAAAAAAAAAGCCTTACTTTTTAAAATACAAAAATAAAGCTTTGGAGCTTAAAAAAAAGGCTCCAATCTGCCCAGGGCAGATGGAAAGAAGCACGAATAAGAACAGATCCAGTGGTGGATCTGCAGGGAAGTAGAGGTAATACAATTTATGAAGTTCGGCTCACACTGTAAATGCAGAACCTGCTTTGGACATTAGGAATGATTATGTTAGTCTTCATCTGAAGCTGAAAATATTCTCCCTCTTTCCTGGTCTGCTGTTTACATAAAGACCCACTGATAAAACCAGCAGACTGGTCTAAGATCTTTGGGACTTTGAAAGGAACAGATGAAGTATTATCAGATCCAGTTCAATGTTCATACATCAAGCGATCTTACCTGGCTGCTGGGGAGAAAGGCATGCTGATACAAGGAAAACCTGTCCTTTGCAGACTCCTCTGAGGTGGGACTGATGGGCTTGGGATCAGATAAAGATCTTTGGATGGTTTTGATGGGGCGAGGCAAGGTCTGCTGGCGTTGGATGGACTCAGACATAAAGTGCTTCTGTGGAGTCACGTGGGCCTTGTTGAGCCTTTCACTAGATGCGAAGGACGACTCGAGCAACCGATGAGGGGAGAGGGGAGACACTGGAGAATAGAGGACTTGAGGGGACTTGGGGGGCTGTCGGGACACAAGCTGAGACAAGGAGTCTGTGGGCAAGTGGGACTGGTAGCCAATTTCAAGAGGAACAGGCTTCTTCTTGGCTAGTGCTTGCTGTCGGACTAAATGAGGATCCAGAGGCCCAGAGCTCACCATCTGGATGTTGGAGGAGTAAGGAGGGATTGAGGTGGGCACTGTGAGCTGAGGGACTGCAATGCCTGGCTGGGGCTGCACTTCAGGTTCTGTCTGGCAAGCCAAACTCTCCCCTTTCTGGGTCTTCTCGGGGGCAGAGATGTACTTGACGATCTCCACCTTGGGGTCAGGGGAAGTGATGTGGATGGAAGGGGACACTCGGAGCAACTGGTCGGGTTCGGTCTGCACAGAGCAGTCACTGATGGTTTGGATGGCTATGCTGGCCATGCCTTTTGCTGAAGAATCGGCTTTACTTTCTGCACTGGAATCCGAATGACGGGAGAAGCGGGAACGTCGCCGACGCACTGGCTGTTCCCACTCAGCATTGTCTTCCTCATCGGTCTGAACGCTGCAATCAGTGCTGCGCCGAGGACGGCGCCGGCGGGATGCATAGAAACGTTCCTCGCCATCTTCATCATCAGTCTGCACACTGCTGTCTGTGATCTTTTTCACCAAGTATGATTCGTGGCTGGGCTCCTTATCATATGCATCCCGAAGACGAGGCATCGAGTTCCGTTTCTTTACCCCCCGACCAGTTTCCCACTGTTCTTCAGTCTGCAGGGACATTTCAGAGGCTGAGTTTGTAAGAGGCCTCTGGAGTGCTGGGTAGCGGGGCTGTGCTTGTACTTCTTGCCCCGGGGCTGCTGTAGCAATAAAAGCTTGATTTAGAGGTGGCCAATATTGTCCATTTTGGGCCAAGGTCCTTTGCATTTCTATTGTTACCTCAGGGGTAACCTGAGAAGGAATCCGGCCAGCTGGATCACATACTGGAGGAAATGTACTCTTCTGCCTCTTTTGCTCTTCCAGCTGCTGTTGCAATTGCTGCTGCAACTGTTGGATTTGTTCTAACTGCATGCGCTGCTGGGCGAGCTGCTCCCGCTGCAGGGCAAACTGGGCCTGTCGCTCCTCTTGCTGCTGCTGGAGGACCTGGTGCTTTATGGATTGCAACTCCTGGATTTCCCTGTGCATCATGAATTGTTCCTTCTCTCTGTGTCTCTGTAACTCCACCCTTTCCCTTTCCAGTTCCTCATGAAGCCTCATCTGCCTCAGTTTTTCCAGTTCTACTCTTTCCCTTTCAAACTGGAGGATGTGCTCATGTTGCTTCCTCTGCCGTTCTTCCTCCTTTTCCTTTTCTTCTCTTTCCATAGCTCCTTTGCTAGCAGTGCTAGCCTCTGTCTGAGACTTTTGGGTTGGCAGTCGGGGAGATGGCTCCTGCTGTGTCTGGCTGGCAGGACCCTGAACCTCTGAGGTTGACACAGGCACCTCCTCACGGGGCCCAACTCCTGTCTGCTCAGATCTTTGCAAGCTGACCATGCTTGGAGCAGGGGACTTAGTAGCAGGTGCTATGCTTACTGTGCTGGCAGCAGTGCTGGCTGCAGAGGTGCTAAGGGGTTTTCCTAAATACATCGGTGTTTCCATTACAGATGCAGTAGGAACTGCAGGAATCCTGCTGGGCCCAGTATAGCGATAAAGACCTTGAGGTGCAAGGGGAACCCTAGGAGTAACTAGGGGTACTCTGGTGAGGCTAGCCAGAGGGACAGCTGTGATACTACCTGGAGCATAGTGCCTGTACAGGCCTCGAAGCATCGGTCGTAGCACCGAAACTGGCTGGGTGGTGATGGGAAGGGTTGATGCTATTGGTGTATTAATGGTTGAATAAATCATGCCATCAGCAGCTCGTACAGTAGCTGTGGAAGGGAGTACCTGTCTGACAGCTCCAAACCTTGAGAGATTATATTGGGCTAAGTTTCCAAAGCCAGAACGAGACTCTGGGAAATTTGGATTGTACATCATGTTTGGTTTCATGGCACCCTGTTGAGCCATAATGTTTCCAGTACCTCCTGGTGCAGCGCCAAGAGCACTATGTCCATATTGTAGAAGATCTTGGCTATTTAGGTGCCTGCCCCCATACTGGTCCATGGAATTAAGGGCTGCACACATTCTGCTGATTTCACGAGCAGTGGTAGCGCTGTAATGAGCCAGGCTAGCTTCCTGGAAATTAGCCAAGTCTCCTCTTGATGAATATCTATAATCGGAGTAGATATTGGAGGCTGAGCTGTACCTTCGCATGGGATATGAATGACTTAGTAATTCAGTGGGTTGTCGGAGGTCAGAGAAAGAGCCATATTGCAGCCCATGCCCTAGCTGTCCTCCCTCCGTGAAACTATGACTATAGGAATTCTTCATAGTTGTCAGGTCCATAGCAGAATCTCCAGCAGGGGAAGGGAAATGCTGGTCTCCTTTAACTGAGTAATAGTTCAACCCCATTTCAGAAAGATTTGTATCCGACATTGAGGAATATAATCTCCCAAACATGCCATGCGGATGGAATCTGTGCTCTTCGTACGGATGAGGGACCGGCGCTGGCTGCTCTCTGTAAGGGAATGTCTCTGGCATTTCCTGTTCTCTGGTTCCATAATACTGGCTACTAGCTTTGCCGAGGGGAGCTGTTTCTCCAACATGTTTTTCTGGCACCTTAGGAGATGGATTAAAAGCCCCAGTGCAGCTGCTTCCAAATGGAAACCTATAGACTACATCACAGCATGCTACTTGGCTCTCAGGCTTCATTCCGGTGAGGTCCAGTGCATTAGAAGGAGGTTCTTCTTTGAGGAGTTTTGTGACAGATCCTGCTGCTAGGTCATCCATCTGCACCATCATCACTTGGGACTTCTTACTTCTATATATCTCTGAGCTTTGATCCTGAGGAAACGGCCTGGGAATGGCACTCACAATATTTTGGGCATTGCTAGTCTGAGTAATTAGAGTATCTTTTTTTATCAAGGATGTCATTTGGTTGGGCAAATTGTATCTTGCAAATTTTGTTTGCTGTGGACCTGCTGCTTCTGGCCAGCCCATAGAAGCAGATGTGCCAGCTCCACTCATGGGTCCTCTGAAGGGACCAGTCTGAACTGCTTGTTCCACCTGTTTAATTTGCGTCAGGCAGACTGGACTTCCTGTCTCTTGACCAAAGTCAATTCTGTTCTGGAAAGGGTCCCCATAGACAACTGGTTGCTTTGACTGGGACATAAACATGGTAGATGCAACTGTTATGCTGACTGTGGTGGAACTGCTGATGATAGCATGTGGTTGTTCCTGGGCATTGAGGTTAATGATTAAAGGTTGGATGGCTGTGGATTGCCGACTCGGTGACTGGTCCATAGTGAGGCAATATTTTCTGCTCTCAGCAGCTAAGGATGTGAGATCCATTCCATGGTCTGTTACAATAATTGGAGCAGACTTTATTGATGTCCTCAAATCTACAATATTACTACCAGATGCTCTAGGTCCAGGTTCTACTCTAGATGTCCCAGGGACTGATGATATCCTACACAAAGAAATATTCTCTGCAGGTAGTGTGCCCCAGCTATACACACCAGGCATAGGGTCAGTAGCAGTGCTCTGCACTTTCTGAACTGGAGTGTAAGGAGAGGCTTTTTCAGGCATTGACTGTGCCTTGGTGTGAGTGGTCTGGACCTGTTGTGACTGGAATTGCACTGCACTGATTGCTGTTTGGCTGTAACTATGTACTGTTTGCTGGCGGCCTTGCTGAGTTGGAGATGAAGGTGGCGAAATGGAGGAACTTACACCAATTGGCTTGGTTTGAATAGCTGCATCAGATGCTAAGGTGATGACCATAAAGGGGGCTTCTTGTGATGACTGTTGCCTAGCCAAGCATGGGGAGCTGGCTCTGTGAAGAGTTTGTGTTCCTTGAGCTATCATCGGAGAAGCTGTTGATACCCCAGTAGTTGTAATGTCATATGAAATAATTGTGCTATGTGTTTGGGTAGAAAACTCAGCTGTTGATTTAGCTCCTCCCCCGGAACTAGAGGGCATCCCAGTTCTTGGAACAGAATAAGTAGGACTTTGTGTAGGAGAAGAAGGGGAAAGGGGTGGGCTGGAACTTTTGAAATAAGAATACATTTTGGGGGTTGCCATGGGTAGATTTGTCTTGCCATCAGTCACACCTTGATGCTTATCTCTTACCGATGGCCCACCGACCCTGGAAATGTTTTCTGTTTGAGAGCCATAATTTGCAGTTACTTTTGTCTGGCTTTGGCTAGTGGTGGACACAGGTGATACATCAGAGCCACTTGAAGTTGGAGAACTGTAAATTCGGATTGCGCTAGCTGGACTAGGAACAACAGTAGTGACTGGGCTAGTTCCTTTACTATATGAGTAAGGCATAGCTACACTCTTTGGAACTGAGCTAGCTGTAACTGAGGAACTATGAAACTTTGTTTGCTCACTACTCTCTTTTTCAAAGTGCTGAGTGACTCTAACATCGGGAATTATTCTGCCCGCACTGCTTTCTGTCTGTGAAAAGGAGACGGGAGCAGAGAGTTGGGTAGGACTTGTTCCTGGAGTGAGTGGGCCACTTTCATATGCACTCTCGGCATTCAAATATTGCTTCTCTGGATAGGGATCTTCTCTCCCTTTTTTCTTCATTTCTTGCTCAAGTGTCAAATCCAGAGTAGAAGATTGATGCATCCTGGAGATATTCTGTGATGTTTGAAGGATTTCTTCATATAGTGCCCCAGATTTGGAAAGCTCATTCTGATAGTCAGTTTGCGAGGAATCTACACTCCGACTATCATAACCATAGTCATCTATATACTGATATTCAAAATTGTTTTGGTCTTCCGAACCACGATAACTTACTTCTTGAAAGGTGTTGTTGTAGGAAATACTTTGTTGGAAAGGTTGTTGTTTTTGGAACATTTCTGCCTTCCTCATCATCTCTTCATAGGCTTCTTCTGCACTTTTCAGGGGCTTGCTGGATGGGTAACTAGAGCCGGCCATTTTTTCTGTTGGAGAATAAAGGGACATGAAGGTTGGCAGATTGTACTCACTGCCAGATTTGTACAGTTTGGAGGCAATGACATCAAATCCTTCAGCCTCTGAGTCAATAGAGGGCGAATATTCTGAACAGGAAGACCTGTGCAGCTCCTCCATCTCTGCAGCCTGGCGTAGTTCCTCAGTGGGCGAAGCATCTTCAATAGGTGACAAATTACTGGGCGGAGTTTTAGACCTCTCTCTCCTCCTCTGTGCCCTCAGCTCCTCTTTATCTCTTTTTGTTTTGCGTGCTGTGCTTCGGATCCGCTGCTGCTCCACCTCTCGCATTTTTTCTTGTTCTCGCAAGAGCTCCTCTTCCTCACGCAGCTCTTCTTCTTCTGAAGAATCTTCAATGGTTGGCAGTAGAGGGCCATGAGAGCGATGCCGAGCTTTCCTCTGCTGTTTAACCTCTTCTAATCTCTGCCTGCGGCTTGGGCTGCTGTCACTATCTTCCTCCAGAGAAGAGACAGAGGTTGGGGATGTTCCTGATGTGTAACTGGGTGTAGTTGGTGGCAAGGTGGAGGAATAGTCACCTCTTGATCTATCTTCTGGGGAGCCTGTAAGGCTCTCCATCTCCAGTTCAGGTTCCCGGTCCAGGCTGATGTCTGCCTCCTGGCTCAACTCCATGTCTCTGCCATAGTTGTTAGTGCTATTTAACTCAATGGTCTTGAAACGACGCAGACCTCCCTGAGAGGCAGCCATGTCATCATTCTCGGCGCTTTCCAGTTCTTTTTGTTCCTCCTCGTATATACTGCTCGAGCTGTGAGGCAGGCGTCTCTTGGATGCAATAGGCTCTCTGCTTTTCTCAGAATCAAGCTTGTGTCCATTTTTTGCAGTGCTGTATTTTGAACGATCATACTCTTCTTCCTCCTCAAGATTGTCTTCTTCTGCACTCATCTCCAAGATTTGCCTCCTCATGAATTCTTCATCTGTCATTACAGGCTCTTTGCCTTTCTGTTTAGTTGGTAATGGGGAGAATCCTGCTTCACTACTATCTGTTACATAGTCATGGCGAAGCTTGCTGCCAAAATCATCTGAAGACTCCACGCTTTCCTTCTTCTCCCTTTGATTATCCCATTCCAGAGAGTCTTCATCTTCTTCCATTATGTCTTCTAGCTCCTCATCAGAATCAAAGGCTTCTGGAGTGATAGAAAGTGACCGTGGCCTCTGTCTTTGCCTCTGCTCCTCCCGTAATTCATGGTATGTTTTCCCACGGTCAGTTGATGGATGGGTCAAGCTCTTTGACTCCAGTAAAGGGCGCATGCTGGTTTCCAGTTTAGTAAGTTCAGAAGGACTGGGAGGACTTGGTTCTACAATTCCTGTTTCATTTAGCTGTTCTTCTTCTTGCTGCACTAAGCCTGTGATTTCACTCTGGGAACTAGAGATCCCATCAGATGAATAGCCTGTATCACTCAAGCTTTGGGGACTGCGGGACTGCAGGTCTGAGGGATAAGGCTTGCTGGATTCCTACAAGGAAATGAAAATCCATTAACATTTCATTATAACTGATTGTAAACATAATTCATATTATTATTCAGATTTACAGCAATTTATAGTGATGGACTCTTAACATTCAAAAACAGCAACCATAATATGCTAAGAAATGAGAGCAGCACCCTTATCTTTGTTGCTTGCCGGTAGAGTAATTATTATCCAATCACTCTGTTCTCTTTATGGAATTTTCAGGGGCCTTTGGATCTCGGTGTTTTTTCCACTGTTCTCTTTGCTCCTTTTAATCCAGAAAGTTATTTATGGCAGAAAGACAGAATTTGTGTGCAATGCCTTTTGATTGGTAGATCAGATCCTCTCTACCTTTTAATAATTTAAAAGTGCATGCAAGACTGATTTCTAATATGAGGAGCTGAAGGAAGTAATTGTTTTGTCTTTTTTTCCTACTCCAACTTACACTCAGAAGTCAAAACACAAGTCTGGGGTTTATTTTACAGATATATACCTTTGTAACATGACACAAATGTATAACAGCAATATACATAGTTAATAAAAGATATCTCCCTGCTAGATTCAAATCAGCAGCAACAACAACAAAAAGAACAAGGTCTTTTCAGACCATCTATTTGTAGTTTAATAAACGAACAGCCCATACTGTTCTGCTGCAAATGTCATCTCACCGGGAAGGTTTTGTTTTGAGGTATATTGCAATTTCCTAGCACTAGTATGAAACATTTTTGTTATTAGAAAAATATAAACATACATATGTTTGTTTCAGCAAATCAGAATTATCTGCCCAATCATGACTAGTTATTTTAAAAAGTTTATCCCATTATATGCAATTGGTTTTTTTTGTTACCTAAATGATGTTTTAGCATTGTGTCATTATGAATTGTGATACTTATAAGTCTCCATCCAAATGGATGACAGGGCAACTTTCACCAAGCTTTTTAGAACAATGAAAAGTATGTATTAAATCCAAACAGCTAATTCTGAAATGTTATAAATCTACATTCTCTGCCCTTAAACAAGGAACTCAGGTTTACATGCCTTATTGGCTCTGTCCTTCTATTTTAAAAAAATCTGGTTTACCAAGGCTGAACAATTTCAAAGTCAAGACCAAACACCAACTGTTGCTTTTGCAAAAAGAAGCATCAGCATCCTTGTCTCTAAAAAAATAAAAATGCGTTGGAGATCTCTATTTTAGTTTCCACAAAAGTTGCCTAATGTGTTACTTGATTATTTAAAACAATTTCCCATGCCTTTTTGAATAATACATTAACTCTCACCACACACACACACAGATTAATGTTTTTAATGTTACATGTACATACAAAGACCATTATTTGAATGATCCATTTTTTCCAGCTTAGCTTTGAGTAAGCTTCAGAATTACATGAGGCATCACCTCATAAAATTATCAAGTTCAGGTCTCAGCTCTGTGCAAAATTATACAAATTTAAGTCCCTTGGCCAGGTTATCTAGCATCCATCTGAATGTACCCAATGAAAGGGAGAACGCCTCCATTCTGAGTAATTTGTTCCCTACCAAATGGCTCTTTCTTTTATGACTTTTTTCTAACATTCAACAGAAGTCCTCTTTAACTTAAAATTGTTATTCCACATCCCACACTCTGGAATGAAAGATAACAATCTTTACTTTCTTCTGTATGACATAATTTCTACTATTTGAACAGTGCTACCATACTTCCCTTCAATATTTTCAAGGTTATGGATACCCAGATATACCCAATGCCTTCAATCTTTCTTGATACTACATTTTGAGTTTCCTAATTACTCTCATTATCCTTGTCTGCCCTCTTCTTACAATTTCTCTATATCTCAGACTCAGCTCAGACCTAAATAGGAGATTAAATGCAGCCTCTCACCAAAGCAGAATAAAATAGAATCAGCATTTCTTGTGATTTAGAAACTATGCTTTTGTATAATCTGAGGCAATCTAAAATTACATTAGTCTTTTTTGTGCACCCATATCATGCTGATACTTGAATAGCTGTTTGGAAATGCCCCCTTCCCACCCCAGTGGTGTCACAAAAACTGTGTTAGCCTAAATCTTGCTGCTTACTTAACATGCTCTTACCTGAATGAATCTGTACTGTGATACTAGCCATAGAGCTTTAACATGCAACAGTCTAAGAGTCAAGATTGATGACTCCCTTGCTGAAATTCCAGTCCTGCTCAAAGTCATTCAGTATATGAATTCCCTGACTCTTCCTCAAGCCCATCTATTAGAGGGACCTCGGAGTCCTAGTAGACAATCACCTAAATATGAGCCAGCAGTGTGCTGCAGCTGCAAAAAGGCCAACACAGGGCTAGGCTGCATTAACAGAGGGATAGAAGCAAGATCACATGAAGTGTTAATACCACTTTACAATGCCTTGGTAAGGCCACACTTGGAATACTGCACCCAATTCTGGTCACCACGATGTAAAAAAGATGTTGAGACTCCAGAAAGAGTACAGAGAAGAGCAACAAAGATGATTAGGGGACTGGAGGCTAAAGCATATAAGGAACGGCTGCTTGAATTGGGTATGTCTAGTCTAATGATGAGAAGGACGGGGTTGACATGATGTCAGTATTCCAATATCTCAGGGGCTGCCACGAAGAAGAGGGAGTCAAGCTATTTTCCAAAGCATCTGAAGGCAGGACAAGAAGCAATGGGTGGGGTTGGACTAGATGACCTCCAAGATCCCTTCCAACTTTACTACTACTACTACTACTACTACTACTACTACTACTACTACTACTACTATTATTACATTTCCCAGTAAGCATGTCTTTGGTTTCTTCTAGCTTTTTTCAAAACTTTGTCGCATACTGCAGAGTTCCTCCCTCCCTCTTTTTTCTTCTTTAAGTTGCAAACTAGGCAGATTGGAACCAAGCTATGAAGTTTCAATTGGCATATCATTGTTCCTATGAACCTGAACCATCAGTTCTTCATTGCCATCAAGTTTCTATGGACCTACAGCAGAATTAGGGATCAACATAAAGCAATAGAGGTACCAGTCTTTATGTGTAGGGAAGCAGGAGTCTGTGTTAAATGAGAGAATAATAATAATAATAATAAGCACACTGAAGTCAAGAAAAAGATTAGAGGTGAATACATCAAGAGAGTGAAGAAGATCTTAAAGTCCAAACTCAATGGAGGAAATACCATAAAGGCAATCAACACCTGGGCAATCCCAGTCATTAGGTACACAGCTGGAATAGTGGACTGGACTCAAGCAGAACTAAAAGCAATGGATAGGCAGACCAGAAAAATAATGACAGTGAATCATGCCCTTCATCCACGCAGTGACATTGATAGACTTTATCTACCAAGGCAAATAGGTGGGCGTGGAATGCTACAAGTACATCAGATGGTTGAAGAAGAAAAAATGGCTTTGGAAGAATATCTGAAGAACAATGATGAAGATGCACTGAAATTAGTATATCAGGAAGGCTTACTGATTACTGGAGAGACCAAACTGGCCTACAAGAAAGACCAAATGAAGAACAGAATAGAGGCATGGGAAGACAAACACTACATGGCCAATACATTAAAAAAATAGCTGGGAAAGCAGATAATAACAAGACCTGGCAATGGCTAAGAGCAGGAAAATTGAAGAAAGAGACCGAGGGACTAATTCTGGCTGCACAAGACCAAGCCTTAAGGACAAATGCATATAAAGTCAAAATTGAGAAGACAGCAACAGACAGTAAGTGCCGCCTATGCAAAGAAGCTGAAGAAACAGTGGACCACTTGGTAAGCTGTTGCAAGAAGATTGCACAGACTGACTACAAGCAGCGGCATGACAAAGTAGCAACAATGGTGCATTGGAAGATCTGCAAAAAATATCATTTGCCTGTAAGCAAAAACTGGTGGGATCATAAAATAGAGAAAGTCATAGAAAATGATAAAATTAAACTGCTCTGGGACTTCAGAATTCAAACAGACAAGCACCTGCAACATAACACCCCAGACTTAACAATTGTCGATAAGAAAGACAAAAAAGTCTGGATAGTGGACGTGGCAGTGCCTGGAGACAGCAGAATAGAAGAGAAAGAACTGGAGAAGATAACAAAATACAAAGACCTACAAATAGAAATAGAAAGACTGTGGCAAAAGCAAGCAAGGGTAGTACCAATAGTCATAGGCTCCTTGGGTGCAATCCCAAAACAAGTGGAGCACCACTTGAACATCCATTGGCATTGACAAATTCGCTATTAGTCAATTGCAAAAGGCGGCCTTACTAGGAACTGCTTCCATCCTGCGACGATATCTGTAATACCATCAAACATCCACATCTGCCTATCCCAGGTCCTGGGTAAGGACTCGATAGGTAGACAAAACGCCAAATCCAGTCTGAACATCTGGCTGACTGTGCGATGATCCATAATAATAATAATAATAATAATGATGATGATGATGATGATGATGATGATGATGATGATGATGATGTTTCGACAGGGACCTTGGAAGTCATCTAGTCCAACCCTCTGCTCAGGCAGGAAACCCCTATACCATTTCAGACAAATGGCTGTCAGTCTCTTCTCAAAAAACTTCCAGTGTTGGAGCATTCACCACTTCTGAGGCAGGTTGTTCCACTGGTTAATTATTCTAACTGTCAGGAAGTTTCTCTTAGTTCTAGGTTGCTTTCTCTCCTTGATTAGTTTCCACCATTGCTTCTTGTCCTGCCTTCAGTGCTTTGGAAAATAGCTTGACTCCCTCTTCTTTGTGGCAGCCCCTGAGATATTGGAAACACTGCTATCATGTCCCCCCTCGTCCTTCTCTTTGTTAAACTAGACATACCCAATTCTAGCAACTGTTCCTCATATGTTTTAGCCTCAAGTCCCCTAATCATCTTTGTTGCTCTTCTCTGTATCTTTCTAGAATCTCAACATCTTTTTTACATCGTGGTGACCAAAACTGGATGCAGTATTCCAAGTGTAGCCTTACCAAGGCATTGTAAAGTGGTATTAATACTTCACATGATCTTGATTCTATCCCTCTGTTAA